GAACAGGCACCTCCACCACCAGTTGAGATTCCATTGAGAAGATCCACTAGAGAGCGACAACCATCTACCAGATATCCTCCACATGAGTATGTTATGCTTACTAACGGGGGAGAGCCAGAAACTTACCAAGAAGCTATTCTACATGAGAATAAGAATGAGTGGGTTAAAGCCATGCAAGAAGAGATGAGATCCTTGCTTGAGAACCATACATATGACTTGGTAAGATTGCCTAAAGAGAAGAAAGCTCTCAAGAATAAGTGGGTTTACAAATTGAAGACTGAAAACAATAGCTCACAACAAAGATACAAGGCACGACTAGTTGTGAAAGGATTCAGTCAGAAGAAAGGTATTGACTTTGAAAAAATATTTTCTCCAGTTATGAAAATGTCCTCTATCCGAGTTGTTCTTGGTTTGGCTGCCCGCTTGAATTTAGAAGTTGAGCAACTTGATGTGAAAATAACATTTCTTCATGGTGACTTAGAAGAAGAAATTTACATGGAGCAACCAGAAGGTTTCAAAGTCAAGGGAAAAGAAAATCTGGTATGTAAGCTTAAGAAAAGCTTATATGGACTCAAACAGGCACCTAGACAATGGTATAAGAAGTTTGATTCCTTTATGATGAGCCAAGGGTATGATAGAACCACATCTGATCATTGTGTATTTATGAAGAAATTTTCAGATGATGATTTTATTATTTTACTGCTATATGTTGATGATATGTTGATTGTTGGCCATGATGTTGAAAAAATTGGAAAGCTTAAAAGAGAGCTAAGTAAGTCTTTTGCCATGAAAGACTTGGGATCGGTGAAATTTTTAGATGATGATTTTATTATTTTACTGCTATATGTTGATGATATGTTGATTGTTGGCCATGATGTTGAAAAAATTGGAAAGCTTAAAAGAGAGCTAAGTAAGTCTTTTGCCATGAAAGACTTGGGATCGGTGAAACAAATACTTGGCATGAAGATTCTTTGTGATAGGAAGAAAAGGAAGATTTGGCTATCTCAGGAGACTTACATTGAAAAGATTCTTGAAAGATTCAATATGAGTAAAGCCAAAGCAGTTTGTTCTCCACTTGTAGGTCATTTCAAGCTTAGTTCGAAACAATGTCCTACAAGTGAGAAAGAAAAAGAAGAAATGTCCAGAGTGCCTTACTCATCTGCAGTAGGTAGTTTGATGTATGCTATGGTTTGTACTAGGCCAGATATAGCTCATGCAGTTGGAGTTGTCAACCGATTTCTCTCTAATCTTGGAAAGAAATATTGGGCAGCAGTGAAATGGATATTAAGATATCTAAGAGGTACTTCCATGTTATGTTTATGTTTTGGTAATGATGAACCTGTGTTAGAAGGTTACACAGATGTAGACATGGCAGGTGATACTGATTCCAAGAAGTCCACTTCGGGATTCTTGATAACATTTGCAGGAGGAGCAGTCTCTTGACAGTCTAAGTTACAGAAGTGTGTTGCTCTATCAACCACAGAAGCAGAATACATAGCAATTACTGAAGCCTGCAAGGAAGCTTTATGGATGAAAAAGTTTCTATAGGAATTGGGCTTGAAACAAGAAGGATATACTGTTTACTGTGACAGTCAGAGCGCCATTCACCTCTCCAAGAATTCAACATACCATTCTAGATCCAAGCATATTAATGTGAGATATCACTAGATTCGTGATATGCTTGAGATGAAAGAATTACAGTTGGAAAAGATACATACCAATGAGAATGGATCAGATATGTTGACAAAGTCTTTACCTAAGGAGAAGCTTGAAGCATGTAGGCAAAGAGCGAGCTTGGTACAGCCTACCATATGAGTTGGAGGGGGAGAATTGTTGGGTCCAACCCATATGTAGGCTTGGACAATTGGGCCTATTGAGCCCAAATCAGCAAATCAAAGAAATCAAGAGAGAAAGGGCAAAATTGGATGATGGCAGTGTGTGTGCGCGCATAGTGAACGCGTGCAGCATGCGACGGCATGCAGAGGAAAGAGGAGAGAGAAATAAAGAGAGAAAGATTAGGTTTCTGAATTTTCTACTTCGATTTGTGGCCAAACGTTGTTAGTTTTGGCCCAAATTTTATGTGGAGAATCCTTGCAGCAAACTCTACAATCCTAACGGTGTTGATCTGTAGTTTACCCTCTCTAAGGTACTTTCCTGTGATATCCACTTTGTAAGACCTAGAATTCTCTTACGAGGAGATTCATCCTATGTGATGATGATATGCTATTCTTGAGCCAAGATATATGATCTTGATGTTATTCTGATCCTCTAGTTATTCTAGAGAAGACCTATTGTAAACCTGTTATCGTTATTATTGATAGTGGAAGTTTGAGGTGGACTACGGTCCCGTGGTTTTTCCCACATTGGGTTTTCCACGTTAAAAAGATTTGGTCTCATTGTGTGATTGATTTTTGCTCTATTGTTTATACTGTGATGGTTGATATTTTCATTTGGATATCAAGTTGGTATTTTGATGAGGAACCTATTTTGATACACAAAGAGGGAAAGAATTATTCCGCTTTAACAGATTTTTCCCAACATGCCCCAATACTAAAGGTGCTCTGCAACCAAGCGAGTGGGCCAACTCTACGCTCGATGCAAAGACGAGCATTTAACATAGAGTTAGAGATATAAATCAGCACCCTGGTAAGGGAAAGGGATTCTGAACTAGTGATCCTCAACAAGGCCGACAAGGTAGGCTAACGATCGCTTGGCGAGGATGGATGCACCCTGGCAGTGTGGGAGTAACTGAGAATCAGCGGCAATGAGTAAGAAGAAGAGAGTGGCTCACGATCAATGGATCGAAGCTACTAGAGGAGGTGTAGATCTATTGGCGAAGTGCGCTTCACCGATGAAGAGGTGGGGTAGCCGCTTGTGTAGATACAACAATGAGGATGGGATGAGTCACTTTGCTCATGCTTTCTGCTTATGTGAAGAGTGGTTGTGCTAGAGGTGCCATGGTAGGGAGATCAATGGAAGAGGAGGAGGAGCTTCGTCGTAGTTAGGGATCCGCTATAGTTCCACCGATGAGGAAGAACAAAGAGGCTTCACTAGGAGAGAGCCCTCAGTGGGGGGTCGTAGAGACAACAGCATGGTGCAAGTTTGTCAGAGTTTCCCGGAATAGAAGGAGAAGACAAATAAGAAGAGCACTGTGCAGGGGTTGAGCCGGTGCACGAGAAGCTGCAAGAGGATGTTAAGGGAGAGCTCCTCTGTTGGAGGAAGAGCCTCGAGGGATAAGGGAAGAGGTGATAGTAGAAGTCGCCTCGTCTAGGCGACCAGGACCCATAGTGGAAGCCATCACCTCATCTAGGTGATTGGAACCGAAGGTTCATCGGCAGAGAGGAAGATACAATAGTAAGCACACTAGTGACAAGGTGGATGCGAAGGATCTCGTTGATCCACTCCTCATCGACCTCGCAAGTGTAATGTTGTTGTGCTGTTGGCGTCACTGATAGAAGGTGAGTTAGCTTTCACTGGATAGCAAGGAAGGGAAGAGAAATCTTACTTTAATGCAAGTGCTCTAATATTATGTGAAAACTATTAAATTGGAATGTGATTACAAAGCTTAATGAAGTTTATTGAATACAATGTCTATTTATACAAGTTAGAGAAAAAGATTTTCCTTAACTGATAAGCGAGATTTTCTAATGCATTTGAAGAAATCTTATCTGCTATCAGTTTTAGCATATAGAGGGCTTTTACATTTTTCTATGTATTCTCATTCATCTGATCTCTTTAATTTTTATTTATATTAGGATCCTATAGATCATACTCAACAAAATCATTATCTACCAAATTTCACAATCATTATAAAATAAAATAAAATTAATATTAATAACCTAAAATTGATAATTATCACTTTTGAAGATAAGAAGAAGTTGATTTGGAATACTTACTCTAGTATTTGTCATATTCTTTTTTTATTTTTCTAGATCTACTAGTCTTCTCTTCATTTTAATCGACACATTTCTATTGGTCTTCTTCCAACCAAGCTCTAATACCACATTGTTCACTTTGATATCACATTTGTTGCTTTTCTATAGAACTTTAATGATAAAAAGGAAGTGATTAGTATAGAGAACTAGGATTGCTCCAAAAGCACCTATTTATATTGACTAAAAGATAAAGTATAAATTTTTTAAAATAATAAAAAAATTATTATATCCCAATAAATATTTTAATCCTAATCTATTTATTTAAATCTAAATTTTTATCTTTTATTTATCTAATCATAACTATTTAAATTAATCTTATTAGTTTTGTAAATAAGTTTGACCTGGCTAATCGATCTGAATTATTAAACAGGATATATATATATCTTGCTCATATGAATAAGGAATAAACAATTTGGAATCCATTAGGTAATGGCAAAGGATTATTTCTGCAACATGCAGTAATGCATCCAAAATGTGATGCACCCCGTAGCTCAAGGTCAGAGACAGGTTCTCAGAGCTGTTTTGTGGAAATGTATACATCTTGTCACGGCTCATAGACTTGCATTGTGCAACCAGTTCAACCACTGTTCCTTCATGAAAATAAATTAGCACCACCAACCAAGTGATTGGTTTGGTATACCATGAATATTCTGTACATATTGTACCGAGTTGTTTATGATCACGTAGAAAATTTTCGCTTGTTATGAGCTTGTGCTAGTACATTAAGTATTATTATAAGAAGTATCTGAACATGATATGTGGACTAATTCTGTCAACCACTGAAGGAAATGGAATATAGTAAGTGAGACACGTTAACAAGAAGTAGTCTCAAAGTGTCATTTGATCAGATCATGCCTCCTTCTACATGGATTAATGCAGTTAGGTTGAAACCCTGTTGTTGCACTTACCAAGCGAGTCCATTCCATCTCAGAGCATGTCTGTATCCGATCTTCCCCTTTTTACCACCTCAATTATTTGTATCCCCCAGCCGCCGAGCACAACCATCCAAATTGCTCTCCCTTTCTATCACTGATACATACACCACAAGTCATTTCTTCCCCTCTCTTTCTCTCGTCAAGAAAAGATCACATCCCCATCAGAAGCACACAAATGTGCAGATAGGAAGAACATCGTGGACCAGAAGTAGCAGCAGCAGCAGGATACACGAGAGGATTGAATTAGGTCGTCAGGAGAGGCCCTTTCTCTAGCCGCCGCCCTTGTGTCTTCTCTCTTTTTATCGCACTACCTCTTCTTCCCTGACAAAAATTACTCTTCCAGAATTGTAATCACACATATCTGAACCCTAAGCTTGTGAAAGGGAGAGATCAGAGAGAGTAAAGAAAGGAGGTGTTCATGGAGGAGGCCCTCAAATCCCTCACCTTGGATTACCTCAATTTGCTCATCAATGGCCAGGCCTTCAGCGACGTCACCTTCAGTGTCGAGGGCCGATTCGTGCACGCCCACCGCTGCATCCTCGCGGCCCGCAGTCTCTTCTTCCGTAGGTTCTTCTGTGGCACCGACCCGCCGTCGCCAGGCCTCCTATCGTCACCGAGGAGGGTGGCGGCTTCCCCTGGAACTGCCGGTGGCGGCGGCACCGTCATCCCAGTGAATTCGGTCAGCTACGAGGTGTTCCTGCTGATTCTGCAGTTCCTGTACAGTGGGCAGGCCTCCGTCGTGCCGCAGAAGCACCAGCCTCGGTCCGGTTGCGGCGAGCGCAGCTGCTGGCACACCCACTGCACCGCGGCCGTCGACCTCGCCCTCGACACCCTCGCCGCTGCCCGCTCCTTCGGCATCAAACAGCTCGAGCAGATCATCGAGGTCGCCTCTCAAAGCTAGATCGGTCCCTCTCGCCCAATTCCTCGGGTTCAAACAGCTGTTGGTCATTATCCATTTGTCCTTCTCAAAAGAGTGACCTCCTTTCCTTTTATTTGCAACTTTGTGTCTAATGTGTTTGCTCCTTTTTAGATGTCTCTTACTGTTGCTTCTGTTGGTGTTCTTCTTCTTCAAAACCTCTCCGGCTTCTTTTCACTGTGTGCAAGGCGTCCTCCACAGCAAATTCCATGAGCGGGTCTCTTTCACTGATCCGACCATCTTTCAACCACCACAGGCGTTTCTAAAACTAAGCTTTTCCCTTTGTTAATACATCTTCCCTTCTTTGATGTCACATTCATGCATCATTCCCAATTTCTTGAAATTGGGATACCTTTTGTTCTCTCACAACCCAATCACCAGCTCCATCACTCCCCAATAAACCGAGCATCCTCTTTCTCCTCCTATATTTTATGCGAGGAACCAACCTAAAGTTCCTTCCCTACTGTCCTATTACACTCCAAACTAGCATTCCAGGAGAGCAACTTTTAGTTCGTTATCTGTCGCAGACTCATGTTTGGTACTGCGGTTGTTCATTCTGGCTGTGGCTGGGTGCAGAAGCAATTGGCGGTCATGGTGGAGAAGGCGTCGATCGATGACGTGATGAAGGTCCTGGTCGCGTCGCGGCAGCAAGACCTGCAGCAGCTCTGGACCACGTGCTCGCACCTCGTCGCCAAGTCGGGCCTCCCGGCCGAGGTGCTTGCGAAGCACCTCCCCATCGACGTGGTCGCCCGGATCGAGGAGCTTCGTTTCAAGTCCTCCCTCGTTCGCCGGTCCTCCTTTGTCGCGCACCACCACCACCAACAGGTCGACGTTGCCGGTTCCTCTGCTGACATCGACGACCACCACCACAAGATCCGCCGCATGCGTCGCGCTCTCGACTCGTCCGACGTCGAGCTCGTCAAGCTGATGGTCATGGGGGAGGGGCTGAACCTGGACGACGCGCTCGCCCTCCACTACGCCGTCGAGAACTGTAGCCGCGAGGTCGTCAAGGCTCTTCTTGAGCTCGGCGCGGCGGACGTCAATCGCCCGGCCGGTCCCTCCGGAAGGACGCCGCTCCACGTCGCGGCCGAGATGGTGTGCCCCGACATGGTAGCCGTCCTCCTCGACCACCACGCTGACCCCAACGTTCGTACCGTGGACGGCGTGACCCCGATCGACATACTTCGCACTCTAACTTCCGAGTTTCTCTTCAAGGGTGCAGTGCCAGCTCTGTCGCACATCGAACCCAACAAGCTACGTCTGTGTCTCGAGCTCGTCCAGTCTGCGGCACTGGTCATGACCCGGGAGGAGGCTAATAACTGTGGTGCCGAAAGCAACCCGAGCACGTCCCTCTTTCCACAGATGAGTCCGGAAGCAGGTTCTTGTAACGCGAGTTGTTCAAGATCCAGCATGATCGACCTTAGCCCAGACTCAAGAATGGTGTATCTGAATCTTGGCATGGCGGAACAATTTGGATGCAAGATGAACGATGGAGGCGGAGACGAAAATAGCAGCAGTAGATCACAAGGAGGAGGTGGTGGCATTGGCCCATCATCCATGTATCCTTCTCAGGGCTTCCCATGACCACAACCATGCATCATCTGAAAGATCACCTTGTCTCCGGTTACTATTTACAACACATACACAGCGAGGGACCGACGATTTGTAAAGGGTGATTTCACTGTCGCATCTTTTTTCCAAGGATTTTGTTCTTCTCGGGGGAACAGGGAGAAGAGCCTGTGCAGCTACAGGCATCTCACAATTTTTAATGTTCTTCTTGATCTATTTGGATTGTTGTGTTGGTCCACTGAATGGTGGAGATGCAAGTCGATCTTTTCCTTGAGTTGTCAATTTCTATCCAATTCAATCCAAAAGCCTAAATTATTATATTGTAAGTTAGACTAAAAAAAAATTCATCTCATTAACTGGATATTTATGAGACTATTTTTTTTAGTCATTTTTTAAATTTCTCCTTACACATAAATAATTTCTAACAAAAAACGATTAGCAACGATAGCTACCTTCAAGCGTACAAGTAGGGTCATCAACATCTATGGAGCGTGAGTATAATTCCTTACTCTTATTGACTTCAAATGGTGTTCTTTTCCTTCCCACTTAGGCTTTTATTTGGAGAAGGAAAGACAAAGGCAATGTCCAAAGTGTGGCAATAAGCTGTCCAGAATTGGTTCCTAGTTACGTTTGGTAGTTTCTCCTAATGTGATAAAGTAGCCCATGTTCTCATCAGTTATGCACAAATGTCTCATGATATATGTAGTTATCATAAAAGGTTGTTTCTATACCTAATTGAGTCACGAGTAAGTTTATACCTAATTGAGTCATGAGTGAGTTCATGGGTGAGATAGTTTTCAATTATGTTCTATATAGAGAATCTTGATTCGTTAAAAATATAACTTGTGGGGATATATTGTAAGTGTTTATCTCTTTCTTAATATTATTTTAGTTTTCTTATTTAGAAGTATTTTCCTTCAATTACATTTAATATCCTGTTTTAATACTTATATTGCTCCTCCATCCCCGAAAACAACTCCTCCTATGGTGCTTAAATATCTTTCCATTTCTTTCTTACCTGGTTATCTATGCAACAGTAACATCTTTATTTTTCTATTTCTTTTATATAATATGATGGACTAACATCATACAGCTAGCTGTTAGACATATACCCTATTAATCTATTGGCATGCATGAATGCATGACAGTCGGACAACACAACAACATCTTTATTGATTGCAACTTTTTCATGAATTTAACTATTGATTGCAACTTTCTATTTCTTTCATGGTCTTCGATAAGGCTAAATCGTACGATTTTTTTTTATCAATATTAATAATAATATTTTTTATTTTATATTATATGATGAATATATTATGATGTTCTTGAATTTATGTAATAAGAATTAGATCATGATAAAATCATGATAATAAGATTAATTTATTTTTAAATATAGATCCTAAATATTTCTAGTCATAGGTTACCTGAAAGGGATATCGAGATAACCAAATATACTAATGTGCTATATATCCATCCATATGATAGAGGCAATTGGTCTCATAACCACTTGTATAAGGACATTAGGGATATAGTGCATATGTGCTAGTTATAGGTTTCATGTAAGTCTATCACGTGAGTAATGACACATGTGTCATGATAAGCACTCATTTTGCTTATTATTATTTATTGATATTTTTCTCACTTTATGTTATCTGTTATATTGTGATGTTCATAGATCTATGTAATGAGAATCAGATCATGATAAGATCATGATAATGAGATCGATTCGCCTTTAAACATAAACCTTAAATAATCATGTTTATAGGATACTCGAGAGGGACATCGAGATAACCGGATAGACTAGTGTATTGTATATTCATCCATATGATGGAGGTGGCTGGTCTCATAATTGCTTATGTGGGGACATTAGAAATATAGTGCCTGTGCTTATTATAGAATGAGTTCACTGATTGATCTACTCCTAAAATGTTGGATGATTGATAATACCTTATTTTTAGATAGTGATTCCATCATCCCAATTATATATCTTATCCTTAAACTTGAGATACCAAGAATATTCTGTATGAGTACTCCACTCTTTGATACCAGACTTATAGGTCAAGAAGTTTCAAATCTAGCATAGTCAGTCATCGGGAGTGACAACTAACTTTACAAAAGCAATTGAGTGTCGATAGAGGATAATCTGCTATCGGTATTATGAGAGGAATATCCTATGTATTCTTACTTAAGAAAATCTCTAGCTAGGGTCATTCAGATTGAGAGAGAAAGAGTTCTCATGGAGAATCCGATTAGAGTGAGACTCAAGTAGATTCCATATGGCCTAATAACACCATGCTTGATATTTGGTCTCTAGGATATTAAATAAATGAGGGATTATAGATATATAGTAATTGAGGACAAATATGTCCAATAGATTGACAATTAACCTTATGAAGATAATTGGGTATCGATAGAGGATCATCCACTCTCGATATCATGAGAGGAATATCTTATATATCTTCACTCAAGCAAATCCTAGGCCAAGGTCAATCAGATTGAAAAAATATGATAAGAACAAAACTCGGATTAAGAGAGAAGAAGTTCTCCAAGAGAATCTGATTAGAGTGTGACTCGAATAGATTTCGTATAGGCCTAACAATACCATGCTTGGTATATGATCTCTGGGATATTAGATAGATGAGGACTATATATACATGGTAATTGAGGGTCAGATAGACCCAATGGATTAGATCCCCACTATATTGTTTGGGGTTATGGCGTAGTGGCCTATTACATCCATTGTCAATAAGTTGAGTGAATTATTATGGGGATAATAATTCATTAAGTCCAATAGAGTTTTAACAAGTGTAACTCACGGCCAATTCGGTATTAGGCCTAAAGAGTCACATACATATGATGGACAATGTGATGAATAGAGGATTGGATATGAGATATCCAATAAGGCCATGTTTTAATGGATCCATTGGGTGAGACTCAATAGGGCCTTGAGTGATTATTGGATGGGGATCCAATACCCATTAAGACAGATCCATTAGGGTTAGCGACAAGAGCCCTCTATAAATAAAAGTTGGGGCTTCATGAGTTATAGGCTTTACCCTTATAGTCGTCAGACTCCGATCGCCTCGTCCCCCCATCTCTCCTTGCCATGAGCCTCCCTGGTGCGAAAGGATAGCAATAGAGCTAGCCCCTCTATTGATTACTATTACTTAGTTTCATGCCTCCCGAATTATCACATTTAGGAGGTGTGACCTTATCTTAAATCAAAAATTCATCAACAATCTAATCTAGGATTCAAATTAACATTTATGGACATTGAGAAACATCCGAGACAAAATTCACATCTATAAAACCTATGTAGTTTATAATTAGACATCACATCACTCAAACATTTATGAAAACCCAAGTCAACTTAACAAAACATTAATCACACTTATCAATCCTCAAGCATAAGAATTTAGACAATCAAAACTCTAACTATTTATCATAAGTTCATATTATCATAAAACTAACTTAACATTCTAAAATTCTAAATGTGAGAGGTCTTTTAAAACATTGACATGATACATCAACTCAAATTGATTAGCAATATTTCATTACACATAAAATGTAAGTATACAATAATTACATATCAACTAACAAGATTTGCCTAAAATCTGAATAGCTTTCCACTACTTTAGCCCAATTCTAACTTTTTAATGAATGACAAGCTAACTTAAAAATTTTATATAGCAACGAAATGAGCATACAAAGCTTACCAAATGACTTATATATCTATAGTAAAATAGGACAGTTTTAAGTAAACTTGGTATCAAAATGTAAGGCAGGGACATAATACTTCAAGATAACCACTCATTAAATATAGAATCATAATGTCATTTCATTTGAAGCATGTTTTATTCATAACAATGGAGTAAAATGTAATTGGAGCATATTAATGACGTAAGAAGTATCTTTGAGCATATCAATGGAACATAGGATATTTTGGAGTATATCAATGGCATATGAAATGTTTTCGAAGCATATCAATGACACATATATTTCGAAGCATATTAATGACGCATGAAATATTTCAGAGCATATCAATAGCAAATGAAATATTTCGGAACATATCACTAAGCAAATAAGAAACATAAGTTCAAATACCATATTTGACATTGCATTCATTTCATTCTTATCCAAAACACACATAGAAACTCATAAGCAATACTTTGGATATCATATCAAAAACATAAAGGGTAAAATGGGATCATAACAAAATATGGTCCATCCATTTCTAAATGACCACCAAACATAAGTCCCCATGTTTGGAAGCTCTATCCACCCATGTTTGAGTGAAGTCATAAGGGGCTGATAGAGCATTGTGAGCTCTAAGCATAACTCTCTTACTTATTTTTTTTAAAAGTTCACATTATCCTACAAACACTAAAGAACAAAAGGGCTTTGTAAACCATAAACTCGACACATATCGAAAGTATATAGAACAATGAAACATACAAGTACCTATATGAGTCAATACGATGCAAATATAATATTTTAAATAATAGATTCAAGTATATAAATAGATTAAGAATAAGAGCATATAAGAATTCAAAGCATAGGGAGAAATCGATTCCCTATGCTTGACTCACGTGGCCTTCCATCAATATAGGGAGTGTTAGGATCAATTTGTCACTAAGACAGGGGGGGGGGGTGGGAAGGGGTTGAATTAGTGCTTACGATAAAAATTTTATTGATTTAAAAAGTTTAATGATTTTGAAAAGCTTGATTCGATGAAACCAGTATCAGAATTGATATCGAAAGTGTGTTTCACTTGAAGTAAATATAATAAGCAATTAAAAATAAAGAACAATAGTAATAAAGAGCAAAAAGAGAGTGTACACCAAATTTATAGTGGTTTGGTCATCGTGACCTATATCTACTCCTGATTCCTCCTCCGTTGAGGTCACCAACGTCCATTAACAGTCTTCCTTCAATGGACGAAGACCAACTACTATCTTACAACTCTTTCTTCTTTTTACAGGTTTAGGAGATAACTTTTTACAAGCCTCACATCTTTCTTAGATTGATCACGAAGTTAAAGAATGAGGAGAAAGACACAGCACTTTTATAACAAAAATCTTTAAGACTTTTGTTTACACTTTTTGTACTCTTTCATGCAGGAAAGAGTGAGGTATTTATAGACCTCAGTGACTTCAAAAATAGAGCCAAAAAGTGTCTAATCCTTGATTTTTGAGGTACTGACGGTACCACTATCATTATTGGGCAATACCACCACCTGTAGACTAATATTAGGTGGTACCACTACCTAGTCTAGGTGGTGTGACCGCCTA